GTACTCGGACATATATATATATATACTAGAGCCATAGCGCGCGTTTCGCGCGCGCTCACGTTCTAGCTAGGATTGATGGGCTAACTCGTACAATCTCATTGTTGCCGCTTCTTGCATCAAGGGACTCTCTTGGAGGCCCTGCGCAAGCCTCGGAATTGTATAGAATGGGAACTGCGGAAACGCAGAGAAAGTATTAATTCCCGTCAGGTCTTCAGCGATTTGGAGCCCTCAAAGGCTTCCTGGGTTCTTGTCGGGGAGCTGAGGCGGGCCCTTAAGTATGGTCTGTTGTGCAAGAGAAGATAGTTATGGGGGGGGCGAACCTGCTCCCTTCTGGTTCAAGTTGCCGTGCCTGGGCTGTGGGTTAGACGTTTTCTGGATGCAGGCCACGGTCTGATGGGCTCCACATCGAGCCGCATCGCCGACCGCTCCGACCCCATCTGCTGGGACTCCATTCGGGAGGCCCACAGCGTCGCCCCCCTCGCTTTTTCGGGTCATACCTCGGCTCTCCAGCGGCCGCTCGGCAGGATCCAGGCACCCCTGGAACGCCCTCGGCGAGGCGACGCTGCTGGAGAGCATCCCGCGGCTGGAAAACCGCCGAGACCCGACGCAAATTGGTATGGGTACCCTCCGCCCCTTTTCCTCTCTTTGGTTCTCCTGGGAGGCCCTCGTCGCCACCGATGCATTCTCTTCGAGATCCTGATCAGAACTCACCCCAGGAGAGGTCTGGGGCGTAGCGGTATCGGTGCCTATTGGTCTCCCCACGCTCAGCTGGGGTCCGAGGTTCAAGATGTTCGGCGTTTTTTTCAGCCACGCGCAGTGGTGGGTGGGAGGAGGGGGGGAGCCTTCGCAGGAGCACCCTGCTTCTCAGAAAACGCCGACGACGGCGCCAGTGCGGATCGAGACGGTACCAGTCCCCTCCCCCCCGCCAGTACAGTCAGAACGAATCATAAGGATGCGCGGTAAGGATGCAAGGGCCTTGGAGGCCCATATTAACATTGTTCGAACGAGGTTGGCCAGCGAAAGTTGCTAAGAATGGGCCGAAGGGGCAAGGATGCAAGGGTACCCTTGGGAAGGTTGCCCATCCTAACTATGCGGGCTGACTGCAACGGCCGTAATCGCTAGGGGAGAAGGAAGGCTCTGGTTCGGAGATCTCGGGTTGGCCTGACGGGGCCGTCAGGGGAATGACGAAGCCCAGTCTCAAATCAGACGCGAACTCCCGATGTAGACGTCCCAGGGAAACTGGACCATCAAAATTCATGATGGGCCCGTCAAAAAGTTTCGGCAAACCCGAGCTGCAGCGAACTCTAGTCTTACGTTTCCCCGAATCGCGAGAGGAACGGATCGCGGCTTCCCGATAGCACTGATCGTTGGATATGGGCCACCCAGCCGTCACTGGTGTCGTTCAACCTTGAAGGCCTGCGCACAGCGTCGCCGCCACGTCGACACTGTACGGACTTACCGCGTAGTGGCTGCAGGTGTTTCGAGCCTCTTAGGCTTCGCTCTGGAGGCGCCACCTCCCTGGAGGCTTGTTTGCACTTACCTTGGGCGCCCCCGGGTGATGTCCTGGAATATATCTTAGCGAACTCTCGTTGCCCTCCTGGGCCTTTCTTGGACCCAATTCGAAGCTAGGCGCCCAAGAGGCACCAAAGAGGCCCCGAGGAGGCCCCTGGAGGCCCCCAAGATGCCCGCAAGTTCCCTCCAAGAGGCCCCCGAGACCATCGACACCCCAGGCACGGCGGCGGGATGGGCGGAAGGTCATTGCATCCGCCGCCCACTGGTAATTCATCACAGGTGTACACGGCGTGCTAAATTTCTACTAAAATTGGTTCCTTCTTTTCTACAGAACTCCCAATAGGGTCTCGGCCCAACCCGCCGGCCACCCGGAAGGCCCAGGAAACTTTGTCCTCCATTGGTCCCATCGCGTCCAAGACGGCCAAGACGGTCCAAGGATGGCCTCGCAGTTCGCCCAAGATGATCCAAGATGGCCCCCAAGGCAGCCCAATCGGATGGACAAGAAAATGTCGAGGAAGAGGATAGGCAATAGGATTCCCAACTAAAAAAAGGGAGTCTCTGGATTTTGTTTCTTTCTCAAGTTCCTCGGTCTTTAAGCTTTGGAAGCGGGAAAACGTGAGAAGGCAGCAAACATGTTGAACAAAAATGAGAATCAACGATTTTACACTCTTCGGGCTCTCTCGGGACGGCTCTCAAAGCTCTGTTGGGCTGTGTTTTGGGCCTCGTCGGAGCTTTTTCAGGGCTTCTCAGGAGTCTGGGGTGTGTTGGGGGCCTCTGGGAGGTTCCAGAGGCCTCTCGGAGGTCTCTAGAGGCCTCCTGCTCCCGCTCTTGGGCCCATCTTGGGTCTGTTCTGAAAAATCTGGGGCTGCTCTGGGCGCCTCTTCGGCAGTCTTGGGGCCTTCTTGGCCCGCCCTGGAACCGTCTTGGGGGCCTCTTGGACGGTCTTGGGGCGGACTTGGGAGCCTCTGCAGCCGTCTTGGAGCGTTGGAAGCATGAATTGGTGAGACGGCCAAACACCTACAACAAAACAATGGACATTAACGATCTTAGGTTCTCCGGGCGCTCTCGGGAGGCCTCTCGGAGCTCTCTTGAGGTCTTTCGGAAGCTTTCTGGAAGCCTGGAGAGCCGACCGAAGGCTATTTTGGGTTGCTTGGGAGCGTCTTGGGCGATTCTTTTACGTTCTGGAAACTTCTTGGGATCGTCTTAGGACGTCCTTGGGCGTTTCGGGGTTCCCCCGGGTCCGGAACGCGCGGTATCAGGAGCGTTCCGCAGATGTTCCGGGGAGGTGTGGGACCTTCGGGAGGGGGAAGGGCGTATTGAATATCTGAAAATCATGTTTTTTCAAGTTCCTCGGTCTTTGAGCGTTCAAACCGGGAAAACGTGAGAAGGCGAGAAACGTTGGGAATTCGCGATTTCACCCTCTTCAGGCTCTCTCGGGACGGCTCTCGAAGCTCCCTTGGGCTGCTTTTGGGGCCTCGTCAGAGCTGTTTTGGGGCCTCTCAGGAGTCTGGGGTGTGCTGCGAGCCTCTGGAGGGTTCCAGAGTCCACTCGGAGGTCTCTGGAGGCATCCTGTGCTCTCGCTTTTGGGCTCATGTTGAGCCTGTTCTGGGGTGGTCTGGAGCTGTCATGGGCGCCTCTTCGGCAGTCTTGGGGCCTTCTTGGCCCGTCTTGGGAGCCTCTTGGGCGGTCTTGGGGCCGTCTTGGGGTTCGCCAGTGTTGGAGCGTTGGAAGGCTCTCCAGGCGCTCGCGGGAGGCCTCTCGGAGCCCTCTTGAAGTCTCTTGGAGGCCTTCTGGGAGCCTGGGGAGCCCCCCGAAAACTATTTTGGGTTGCTTGGGAGCGTCGTAGGCCTTTCTTGTACGTTCTGGGGGCTTTGTGGCGTCGTCTTGGGCTGTCCGTGGGCAATTTGGAATATCCCTTCGAGGCCGGGAAGCGCGGTACCCGGGAGCGTACGGCAGATGTCACAGTGAGGTGTGGGACTCCCGGGAAGGGGGGCGGGGCGTATTTTTTATATCTATGTATACATATATATTTATATATATATATATGTATGTATGTATGTATGTATGTATGTATGTATATATATATATATATATATATATATCGACAATCAAGAACTGGCGACATCAATCCTTAACTTTGCGGGAATTCCGACTGGACCACAATTTTGGAGCCCAACTCGGGGATGTATGGTCCCGGGCTTCGGGCCCACAGGCCCCCCCCCCCAGATGGCATGGTCCCAGGATTCCTCGGCCCCCCCCCCAGATGGTATGGTCCCAGAGACGACGACGACGACGACGACGACCACGACGACGACGACCACGACGACGACGACGACGACGGCGACGACTACGACGACGGCGACGGCGACGACGACGACGACCACGACGACGACGACGGCTGCGGCGGCAACGACGCTGTCGGCGGCGACGACGACGATGACGACAATGACGACGGCGACGACGACGATGACGACGACGACGACAAGGACGACGAGGACGACGACGACGACGACGAGGACGACGAGGACGACGACGACGACGACGACGACGACGACCTCTGAACCACCACACCACCACACCACATCCAAAGGGGGGGGCACCGCAGCGCAGCACCACGCCACGCCCACCTCTGAACCACCACAGCACCACACCACATCCACAGGGGGGGGGGGCACCGCAGCGCAGCACAACGCCACGCCCACAAACGGGGGGCGGGGGGGGGGGCATCGCGCGGGGGGGGGGGCCCAATGGCATCAGCATTGGGTAAGGGGGGCCCAAGCCCAGGACCATATATGATAGGGGGCGCGAATCCTCAATAGTTATGGGACAAACAAACAATGTTCGTCAGCGCGGACTCCAAACAGTGTGCGTCTAGCAATATACGTAGTGTAACATATGTGTGACAATATCTGTGGCGCAATACACGCGGTGCCATATATGTACATATATGTATACATACATACATGTGTATGTATATATACATATATATATAATGCAGAATATACGTATGTATATATACACATACTTTGTAAGTTATGTGGTGTCATCTAAGCTGTGCCGCCTGCGCAGGGCAATATATGTGGTTCAGTTGATTTTAACAAACGAGCTGGCACGCCCCAGGATCTTGCGAACATCCCACCCACCCACCCGCAATTTGGTTTGCAAAACCCATGGAGAGGCGATTGCGATGCATCTTGGCGTTGGCTGGTGCATCTCTGCAGCCCCGCCAACCCTAGCA